AGCTACACATAGACCCTTCCATTCAGAGACTCACTGAATATACTGAGAGATTGCTTTTTTTTTGGATTTTAAAGGCATCAAGTGATACAGGGAGAAAGCAGGAATAATGATATTGAGATAGAGGATGAACCATGATCATATTGAATGGTGGAGTAGGCTCAAAGGGCCAAATGGTCTACTCCTGCTCAGAGTTTAACAGACAGTGAGAGTCCCATAAACACACAGACAGACGTACACTCACAGTTAAACACGCAAATGTACATCCTCACCAATACTCATTCAAACCAGGAACTGGGCTGCATTCCACAGCTGACCTTGGCAAATCATGTAAATTACTCAAATTTGTGAGCTTGTGGTATAAATCTGACAACAAAACACGGTGGCTCAGTGGTTAGCACTGCTGCCTCACAGCGCCGGGGACCCTGGTTTGATTCCACCCTCGGGCAACTGTCTGTGTGGAGTTTGCACATTCTCCCCGTGTCTGCATGGGTTTCCTCCTGGTGCTCTGGTTTCCTCCCACAGTCCAAAGATGTGCAGGGCAGGTGGATTGGCTATGCTAAATTGTCCATAATGTTCAGGGATTGTGTAGATTAGGTGGGTTATAGGGGAATGGATCTGGGTGGGATACTCTGAGGGTCAGTGTGGACTTGTTGGGCTGAAGGGCCTGCTTCCACACTATAGGGATTGTATGAAAGCAGAAGTTCCTGTTAATTCATCAAACGCTAAAAAGATCTGGAATTAAAACAGTATGTTGCAGAATTGTACTCCAACTGAAAGACTCAATAAAATTATTTGAAATTTCCAGGCACAACAATATCTGACTGATTGGGAACCGTAGACCATCTGCTGCTTCTCCCTATGATTGGCTTTGGTATTTATACCCTGAAAGTTGGGGGCAGTTTTCTGACAGTGGAGAAGTGGGACTTGTTTCTTCTTTGCAACCTTCCTCAATAAATGCATCAAATAATGGCCATGTTTTTCAGTCTTTGACCCAGTTCCTGTTTACAGATTGTTATTGGTGCAAACTGACTGTTTATTTCCAGGGCAAGTCAGTATAACTCAGAAATAATTCTCCCTGAAATATTCAAACTGCAATTTTGCACATTTAAATGAGTGAAATTATATCACATTTACCCAACAAGTTAGGCTTCTGTTCCCAGAAATTATCTTTGGGTTCTGTGACCTGTAGATATTGTCACCTGAGACAACAATGAAATCCTTTAAGTTGAATCAATCCAGTTACATTCTGTGTAAATGAGTGTGAAAAAAGATCCCACATATCTGATCAGGATTCCTTTGCAGCCTGTGTTGCCTTGTATTTCACCAACCCCATACTGGATCATGTCTTGATCTGTAGTTCTCTTTTTTATTTTATGTCTCATTTGTCTCTCAGTTTCTGATTCTCTCTCCTCCAGGGTTAGAATCTCTTCGAGACAGTGCCCATTCGACCCCGGTGCGATCGACCTCACACACCGACACGTTTGGTGCCCGCCCAGGCAAGAGCGCCCCTGCACAGGGCACTGAAGTGAGCTCCGTGATCGCAGATGAGTTTTACAGTCCAGCAAACAGTGTCCTGCCCACTCCAGTGTCTGACCCCGCTCTGGAATCAATCCTCCCGCAGCAAACCAATAGCAGCACTGGCAATTGTGGCATCGAAGAGGAGAAGGAGTGGGATATCAGTGCCCCATCAGAGCCTGAGGAACCAGGAAGGGGGGCAAGTGCCTTACCAGAAGGTGTTAATGACAGGGCCGAGAGGGAACAGGTGAATACGTTTGTTTTAAGTGTGATCCGTTTGCTGCTTGTGACAATAGGCCTCCTCTTTGCCTTGCTCCTGCTCCTGATAGGGCTTACAGAGTCAGATATTGACATTACTTTTTTACGTGATATACGGCAGACCCCTGAATTTGAACAGTTCCATTATGAATACTTTTGTCCCCTCAGGCGATGGTTTGCCTGCAAGGTGCGGTCCCTGCTAAGCCTTCTCATTGACACCTGATACCAACCAACCTGAGCTGTCCACCCAGGGACACTGAATCAACAGATGGCACCAAGTCACCAACAGTCTGGGCACCCCTTCTCCCCTCTGGGTGGTACCATCAGGCATGTAAAGCCACTTATAATGGATGAACTCAACCACTGCTGGGAGACTTTGTGAATCATCAAGATTTCAAGAAGGAATTTTTTAAACAAGGAGGAAAATCTACATTCAACCTCCCATCCCTTCCACCATAACCAATATGAAGCTCTTGAGACTGTTGTACTTCATAAGTCTGTTAGAATAAGTGATTAACTATTAGTAGCCTCCAGGAACTGAGTAACAAAGAGTGGAGTTCTGTTATTGTGATGTTCAAGAGTTATCCTGCCTTCTGACTTTATTAAAAGTACAGAGACCATGATATTATTAATCGTAACAACCAACTCCCATGTTTAAATATATCCAGTACTCCAGGTTAGTAGCAAGAGACTTTCTCCCAGAACTGTTAGACTTTTAATGTTTGTTAATCATTTCATGTAATATTTTAACAATTTGACAAAAAAAAACTTATTTTGTTTATTGAAAGCTGTACAGCTTATGGGACGTCCCTACACATCCCTCGACAATTTCCCTGGAAAGATTTATCCATACAGATAGGGCAATAGATCTGCAAAACAGGAAATGGAAGCATTGTTTGAGGATGCAGACTGTTCAAGTGGTTTTTAAGATTGCAATAAAGAGAAGACAGGGAGCAATGCTGAGTGATTTTTGTTGAATACACTGCTGCACAACAGTAGAACCAGCACAGACATCACAAGTACCTCACATCAGTAAAACAGACTCCATTGGTTAGAAGTATTTTCACTGGAGTTTAGAAGAATAGTTGGGGGTGGGGGGGGAAAGCAACTGGATACAGGAAGGATGTCCCCGATGACCGGGGAGACCAGAACCAGAGACGTCAGTCGATGGATACAGGGCAGGCCGTCTACAACTGAGATGAGAAGAAATTTCTTCACCCAGAGATTGGGGAGTCTGTGGAATTCTGTGGCTGAGACCAAAGCATTGAATGTTTTCAAGGAGTTTGACATAGTTCTTAAGAGGTAAAAGGGTATGGGGAGAAAGCAGGAACAGGAGACTGAGTCAGATGAGCAGTTGTGACCATATTGAATGACAGATTAGGCTCGAAGGGCTGAATGGCCTACTCCTGTTCCTATGGGTACAACAAGCTCAGACTGTGCACCTAAGAAACTGTTATTAGCAAAATGACCTTTCTCAGGAAGTCTAGCCTCACTTTATTGCACAAACAACTCCCACAACAGCAATGAAACCACGGAGGTACCAGATAAAAGCAGCACTTGCCTTGTGTGTACAAACATGCAGACACGTGTCTGACAGGTAAGGTGGGTTCTGTGGGTTGGGATCTGAATTTTTAAAAACAGTAAGGAAGGGTCATTCATGACTCCATCAGGCAACAAGGATCTAGCATAATAGAATCCTTACAGTGTGGAAGCAGGCCATTCAGCCCATCGAACCCACACCGACCTGCCGAAGAGCAATCCCCCAGACCCACCCTTTACCCTGTCCCTGTAACCCTGCACACCTTTGCACTGTGGGAGGAAACCCAGGGACAGGGAGAATGTGCAAACTCCACACAGACAGTCGCCCGAAAGTGGAATTGAACCGGGTCCCTGGTACTGTGCGGCAGCAGTGCTAACCCGAGCCACTCCGTGAAAAACACTTGGGCTGAAAGGCCCTTGCATACACTACGTAATTATACATATGATCCCTATGAGTCACTGCTAGTGAGACACAGGGCTAGGTGTTGTAGAGAGATCTTTGCTCACTATCCACAGAACAAAACCTGTCATTTATAGCATGGGGTATAAAATATTTTCCAGTACGTTCAGCTTGGCAGGTATTTAAATAATTCAAAAACAAATAAATAAATGGAAAGTGAATATATTAACATTTAATTTGAAGAAATATTTACTTTTTCTATTTAACAGGCACTAATTGTGCCCAGTGTCTTTGTTAAATACTGGAGGTTGAGTCTTGCTTGGTTGAATATCTCCTTAAGTATCACTCCATTTTACCACAGTTTGCTCAGACTCTTGTCAAAATCACCTCCTCACAAGTTAAACCAGGTCAATGGTTGGGGTTACCAAGCCTTCATTGAACTGTTTCAATCCACTGCAAGTGTTCTGTATGTCAGAGCCCCATAAAATGTGAGATTAACTCCTCAATGCAGCCGTTCACACTTTATAAAAAATGTACTATACAGAAGGGTTCTGATACAATAGAAATGTTCCAACAAACAGCAGTGAAACTTTCTGTTACTGCTAATGGGAAGACAGGTTACTCAATTGTTTCCTTTTCTGGTTCCATACACCTACCCTGAGAAACAACCTACCCTGTCCAGCTCCCTAAGAATCTTGCATGTTTCATTTTTAAAAAATTTCTTCTAAATCCTGATGAGTACAGGCCCAACCTCCTCCGCTTCTCCTAAGAAAACCCCTCCATACCCAATATCAGTCTAATGAACCCTCTCCGGAAGGCCTCCAATTCCAGTGTACCTTTTGTTGTTAAAGGGACCCAAACTGCTCACAGTATTCCAGTTGTGCCTTGTAAGTTTTAGCAAAACTAGCCTACTTTCATAATTCATTCCTGCTCACTTTCTGTACTTGTACATTTAATTTTTGTAATTCATGTGCAAGGACCCTGCGCTCCCAAATCACTTCAAGCTGTGGCTTTCTACAGATTCTCTTCGCTTAAATAATATGCACATCTTTTATTCTTCTTGCTGACGTGCATAACGTCATTTTCCCACATTATATTCCATCTGCCAAGTTTTAACACACACAACCTGCCTATGTCACCTTCACCACTCACCTTCCACCTATTGTTGTGTCATCCACAAACTTGGCTACAGTACATTCACTTCCAAGTCATTAGAATATGTGGCAAATATGTGTTTGTGCGCTCTGGGCAATAAATGCCTGCAACAGGACAAGAGCCACACACAGGCTAAGGGTAAGAAAGGACAGGTTTATTTCCTGAAAAGGGAAACAAGTAAACGAGATGAGGTTTTATTCATAATCTGACAGTTTCTGATCACGTTTACAGATTTCCACTGCTTATTTTCTCAAAAGAAAATGACTGAATTCAGATCCTTAAACAGCCACAGTGCGGTTTCATTCTTTTGAATATTAATCATTGCCACTAAACATTAGTTTAAGATTACTTTACAGGACAGCCATTCAAATAATGCATGTAAACTATATGAAAAAGTAAGTTTATCTGAAACATCTCTTTAAAATTGTTAATAGATTGCTGCTACTCTACTGATAAAAATACAAAACAGCTCTGCACTAAGAATACTTGAAGTCTGTGCCTCATAAATGAAACACTGCTCCTACATTCTGGAGGGGTATTAAAATTTATACTGTCTCTATAAGATTCAACTCTCTTTAGAAAGAAAATATAAACATTCTGATGAGTGGGCTCTGCAGTAGGCGTATGCTCCACGACCCACTTTCAAGACCTTGAGTAACCATGCTCCACCTGCTGATCACTGCATTTTTCTTGCATTTGTGTGCGTTTTCTCCCACGAATCTGAGCTAAAGTCTGGGATGTCATTAAGAAATATAGCAGTGATCAGCGTCATTAGGGAGGAGGAAAGAGAGAGGGAATAATGGCACCACTGATGGCAGATACACGAGAAATTCAAATGGGTAATATTAAAATCTCAGAATGAGTAACTATAAATTTTTTTTCTGAAAATACAGAATCAAACAGACAATAACTCAGTTGCTGTTATTTTTGAGCAGAACTCTATTTGACCTTACAACTGAGATACACTGGATAATATCACCAATGCTGGGGCATAGAAGAAATAAAATCATCGCATTTTCAGCGGTTTTGTTTTCTGAGGCAGTGGGAGAGACAGAAAATACTTCCTCAACAGGTAAACATTGTTTTGGAGCACAGTGATGGATCTGTCGAGACAGACTTCCTACAAGTGAAGTGAGCACCAATTCTGACATTTTAGCTCACGGTCCTGATCCGAAGGGGTCAAGCTCTTTTCCTGATTGCTTTGGAAACTCTGAAAGTGTAACAGTGTTCAGTAAAGATGCCCTGAATCATCTGAACAGATCTCTTAAGAGTCTGATTTACCAAAATGATCAGGTTCCACAGAACATGACATCAGCAGTAAATGAGATCTACACCCTTGTCTATTTGACTCATATTTCCAATCTGAATTACTCAATGATATTTTAATACAGCCCAACATTGTTCTAATTTTATTACAGACACTTTTCTCATTTACCATGAGATATTTCTTCTCTCCAGCAGGAAAAAAAAAGGTCGTTCTGATCCATTCAGTGGGGATTTTTAAGACAAAAGTACAGTTTGAAAGTGCCTCCTAATTGCACATGCCTTTACCCTTTTAACCCAGCAGATCTGTGGTGATTTCTAGTTTGTACATGTTACTGGATCTCAACTGTATACCATTTCACTTAAGCAGTTTATATATCAATTAAAATTTATACTGAACAGGGCAGACAAAACACCAAACTTCCAGAGGCTTTTCTCCTCAACATACAGCACATAACCCAGTTAGACTCCTGTCTTCAATGTTGCAGTGACTGAGCATTGGTCCTCAGATTCTGTAGGAAGTTCCACTATTACCCACTCAATGGGCCATCGACGAAAACGTGAAGGCGTCCACTGGAGTTTCCACCGACCAGTATATTCCTTGTCGGGTGCATGACATTTATGGAGCAGATAGACCCCAGCCATTCTGCGTCCCTGAATTCTCGCACTTTGGACCCTGTAACATGGAACACTTCAATCTGCCTCGGCCTGGCCATACTACCCACAATGAAGCAGTCGTCCCTTTTGGGGTCCCACACTGCCCGGAATTTAGTCAGCCAGCGCCCAGTGAAATTGTTATGTCTGTTTTAAAACAGAGAAAATAAAAAATGGTTAACAGTCCAATTACAAAGCATTTGTTGCACAGAAAGAGCCAATCGGCCCAACTATCCTTCTTAGTCTGCACCTCGGCTACCATCACCATCACCATCACCTCACCCAAACAGCATAATCTTCTCTTCCTTTCTCTCAGGTTTATTCAGTTTCCCCTTAAAAGCATCCACGCTATTAGCTGGAATAACCTGAACACAATGACACGGAATGAAATTGACAAGGAATAAGGCAACATAGTGACTCCTTCACACTTTGAGCCACTCTCTGTGTCACTATCTTCAAAGTTGTGCACGATAGCAACGAGTTCCTGCTTCCTTCCTCCTGTCCCCAATGTACTACATGAACTTTCCTGAAGGAATTAACACGTCGTAAAGATTATGTCTTTTTATTTTTGTGCTTTTTAAAAACTGTGAAGGAAAGTGAGAGCTGTGTTGAAAACCAGGGATATGTATTGATGACTGAGTGTATTGAAAATAAGGAACTGGATACCTATCGTGACTCCCTGTTTGTGTAGATCCGAGTTCCAGCAACATACAGACAAAGAAGTAGTTTAGCACTGAAATGGAGTGGTTTGTGGACAAGAGGCCAGTTATCAATGACAAAGATCCTCTACCTGCCAACTGTGTGATTGGTTGTCAGGTATCTGAACAGCTTGGCCCGAGAAGCTATTCAGACCAGAAGAGAAACCAGCAGGTCTGCAGCAGCCAAAAAAAATTCTCTCTCTCTCTCTGTTGTCTGCATAAAGCCACTTTAAACCAGATGAAAACCAGCTTATCATTCCTTCAGCAGATGCTGCAAGTAGTGACTTTAAATGAGATAAGTCACAGACCTTTCCAAAGTCAATCAGCCACCCTGTGCCTCTTGCTAACCAGTGGGAGTATCTGGAAAAAGGTCAAGGTGAAGCCTTCCATTCAAAAATACTACAGAACTGTGATTTTCCAGTTCCCCCTCTGCCCATGCGAGAGATTTCTTTTCCCCCTGTTTGTGTTTGCCTCTTTGTGTAAGGGAGAGTTTAAAGGGTTTTAGAGTTTTAATTTGTAGAGGTTCCTTTAACTTAGGTTAATTGTTTACCTGCAGCTAGAATGTAATTCATGTTAAGTGCAGAAACTTGGTCCATGCTCCAGGACCCTGGGTGTGAATGCCCAGCAGTTTGGGGGTTTTGCGCGCTTCCTTTAAAAACTAACTTTTGTGACAACTCAGGGAATATTGGGGAGGGGAGGGGGTTGATTTCACTGCCCTATTGCAGTGAGTTATGACAATGTGCCAGCTCTATTTCAGGTGTTCACCACTGTATTAGGGGGGTTTTCATCCATCTACCACAATTGGCCAATTGTCCACTGACATCATCCTTTTCAAACTTTCACCTGGAGTCCCTAGGAGGAACGTCCAGCTCCCATTTTCTGGAATTGAACTTCAGACATCTAGCCTTCCCTAGTCACAGAGTGAAAACTGAACCAGGGATTGCATTTCCGAGTTCTGACCCATAAAGGTCTATCAGAGACTGCAAGCAAAGGGGGGCTAAGCAAGAACAGAAGTGACAGGAGAATCTAACAGTCTGTTAGCACTCGCTGTCTTCGCTTACACAGCTGTAAGACTGGACCACAGTACTGATCAGTGCAGCAGTGGGTGTACAAAAGTAAACCACAGGACACCAAACATCTCAGCAGCTTGGGCGAACTTCAGAAAAGGCTCATTTCAACTTCAACATCTGATGGCAAAACATCAAGTTAATGTGTTACTTGGAAATTTTTTCACTTACATTATTGATGTCACAACTGGAATCCTGGGAATTATGGCACTGGTGTCAAATATTCTGCAATAAATTATTTAAAAACAATTAAAAAGATACAAACCAACATGAACCCCACGGTCCTAAAAAAAAAGGCATTTTAAATGGAAATTACTTTCTTAATTCAAGCAAACGGAAATGGCCTTCATTAAAACAGGGGCTCCTAGTAAATTCATTGTCAATCAGGACAGCACAGTATGTCCAATGCAGGGAGGATTGGTGAAATGGTAATGGCTGTGGATTGGTAATCTCTGAGGACATGGGTTCAAATCCCACCACAGCCACTGGTGTTATTTAAATTCAATTAATAAATCTGCAGTGACCAAGAAATGATCAATTCTTGTAAAAAACCACCTGGTTCACTGATGGCCTTTAGGAAGGAACCACCTGAACTGACATGTCATTCCAACAATGCAGCTGACTCTTTACTGCCCTTCAGTTTGGCCAGATCAAGGAAAATTAATAGTGATGAGCACCATCTTGGCAGTGATGCCTACATCCCAAAGAATAAACAAATCTCACTCTTGATGGAGGGAGCTGGTAAGGAGACACACAGAACATCAGTGGTGCTGAAAAATCCAGATTTGTGCTGTGTAATTCTACCCTCATGACTCTTACTGTAAAGAATGACAACAAAATAACCCATTTACAGTCAGTACCTCTCCAAAACAGTTCCTTGGTTGTTCAAGTTTCTGTGTTCTAACCCAAAAAGTGTGCCTTAAGAAAGACAAAGCATGACCATAGGATGTCAACAACGCAATCACCAACCCCCAGTTTCTCAAACCAACAATGGTAAGTGTCTATAATGTGGTTTCCCACCTTGAGTCAGCTTAGGACATTGGCAGGTAAAGGAAATGACCTTGGAGTGCACATTCATAGCTCTTTGAAAGCAGAGTCATAGGTAGACAGGATAGTGAAGGTAGCGTTTGGTGTTTGTCTTTATTGGTCAGTGCATTGACTATAGGAGTTGGGAGGTCATGTTGTGGCTATACAGGACATTGGTTAGGCCACTTTTGGAATACTGCATTCACTTATGGCCGCCCTGCTCTCGGAACAATGTTGTGAAACTTGAAAGGGTTCAGAAAAGACTTACAAGGATGTTGCCAGGGTTTCAGCAATAGGGAGAGGCTGAATAGGCTGGGGCTGTTTTCCCTGGAGCTTCAAAGGCTGAGGGGTGACCTTATAGAGATTTATAAAATCATGAACGGCATGGGATAGGATGAATAGCCAAGGTCTTTTCCTCAGGGTAGAGCAGACCAAAACTAGAGGGCATAGGTTTAAGGTGAGAGGAGAAAGATTTAAGACGGAGGTGTGTGTATGGGATGAGTTGATACAGGAAGAGGTGGAGGCTGGTACAATTACAACATTTAAAAGGCATCTGGCTGGGTACATGAATAGGAAGGGGTTAGAAGGATATGGGCCAAACGCTAGCAAATGGGACTAGATTAATTTAGAATAACCGCTCAGCATGGATGAGTTGCACCTAAGGGTCTGTTTCCATGCTGTACAACTCCATGATTCTATGAACTGGAAGCAACATTATCAAGACAGACTAGAGCGACAGAATGTGGACAGACTGATCTGGGATTGACGATCATCAGCAAAATCCCATCAAATCACAAACCCTACCTCTAGGTTTCAGTTCTCTGAATTGCACAATTTAATTTTGCAACAACTATTCAAATACACTCATTACCTGATCCTGTCATCCATGCAGACGGTCACCACATTATTACCAGTAACTGGTGAGAAGTAGGCAGAGTTTACATTCTTTGTGTGTTCCTCGAGGGAAGCTACAGCCTTTTTGGGTGATGTTTTTAGATTCCGAACATCATAGATAGCTACACATCTGTCAGAAACAGAAGGATTTAGGTCAGATCTTTCTCTAAAAATCAAAAATTCATTCATTAGTGACACTGGAGCAGAAATACCCAACCAGTGATGACAGAATCAGGAGGAGGCCATTCATTAGGTCAAGAGATGGCTACATAACCAGCTGAACCTGTTCCACCATTCAGTCAATCATGAATATATACTCACGTGTAATCAGAGTCTACAGGAATTCTGAACTTATTTCAATATTGTCTGTCAATGTCTTTCTTAATTTCATTCTCGAACTTCTGCCCCTCATTTAGTTAGATCAGCTTCATTCTTAAATTTCATCTATTTGCCTTCCTCCCCCTCACGTCCCCAAATCCCTCAATAATCTTTCCTGACAAAAAAAAAACATCAGATTCAATTTATAAATGTTCAACCGACTGCCAACCTTAACCGCCCCTACTATCTGGGAAAAGAGATCTCCTCTTTCCAGTCTGGTATAAAAACGTTTTGTATTAAATCGAATGCCAGGTTATAGAACGAACATTTTGGAGGCAGCCACACAGTACGTGCTACACTGCAAAGACAATGTAATGAAGGTGCGTTGAGAAAACAGGAACACCAGCAACAGAGCGAGCTTACCGTGTTCCAGCAGCTACAAAATACTGACGATGCACTGGGTGAACACTGACTGTCCGAAACTGGTTTACGCCCAGAAATGCATTCAGTTCCCCTGAAGTGCTGTGGAAAGTTGCACAAGGGAAAAAAAAATAAGAAAAACTGCTTTCAATTAAGTAATGTGTATGTGCATACATAAATATCTTCACACAAAAACAAATCCAAAGCAAGTTTTAACAGATTATTGACCTGAAGTTAAATACAAGTTTTTTTACAAAATGAAAATATTCAAATCGTTTTGGTTTGATTTATTATTGCCACATGTACTGAGATACAGTGAAAAAGGATTGCTTTGCGTGCTAACCAGACAAATCATACTTTACATAAGTACATCAGGGTAATAGAACAGAATGCAGACTATAGTGTTACAGCTACAGAGAAGATGCAGAGAAAGATAAACTCTCATATATTGAGAGATCCATTTGTTAGTCTGATAACAGGGGGGTGAAGCGGTTTTAAATCTGTTGGTATGTATTTTCAAATTTTTGAAACTACTGCCCAATGGAAGAGGGTGGAAGAGAGTATAACCTGGGTGGGAGGAGTCTTTATGTTTGTTGCTATTCCAAAGGTAGCAGGAAGCATAGGCAGAGTCAATGGAAAGAAGGCTGGTTTTCGTGGTGAATTGGGCTGCATTCACAATGCCAATTTTTTGTGGCCTTGGGCAGAGCAATTGCTGTACCAAGCCATGATGCATCCAGATAGGATGCTTTCTATACTGCATCTACAAAAATTGGTAACAGTCCTTGGGGAATAACATATAGGTTTTGGAATAACATGACTTGCTTTTTTTTTCAGTCTTTACTTTCATTAAGGCTTTTTCACTTTGAGAAATGTGAGATCGGGTGTAGCAGGTAATGCAGCAGTGATGGTGCTAACTGCAGACTCACCCTGTGGTCTGAGCATTTGCAGTGTACACTTGAATGTATCCATTTGGCTACATTGCTGAGCCCTCCAGTGAAACCCACCCTGAAACCTCACTACCCCAACTCCACTGCTCAACACTGTGGTGCAACACAGAAAAAGTCCCATTCAGATAAACAGGTGCTAAATAACTGCACTGAATAAATAGATGGTGTGTTTATTTAAGCAGGTTTCATACCAAGTATTTCAGTTTGGACAGAGAGGGGCAAAGATAGGGCCATTGACCAGTTTTAATGCAGGGATCGATAATTCCGGACTAACAAGAGAGTCACTGGTTCTCAGGGTAGATGGGGCTGTGGAGTTGAAGAACTAACCAGATCTAATGGTATGGTGGAGCAAGCTAGAGGGGCCGAATGGCCTACTCCTGCTCATAAATCGCAGATACAAACAGCAATGAGACAAACTGCAAACGAATTTGTTCTGCTGGTTAGTTAAAAGCTTCATGTTGCCCAGAACACTGGGTCCACCAATTCTGCTCCTTTTTAAAATCCACTCAAACAGCTATTCAGGCTGTTTCCCTGATTAACTGTCACTGTCAGTCACTATCCTCACCTCACCACTGTTCCAGATTAACACCATTGCCACAAGGACTGCAGCAGCTCAGGGAAATAGTGAGAAACCACCAAATTCACAAGAGCAACAAGCAACAGGAACTCAAAAATATTGTTTCCAGCACATCCCCAATAGTGAGCGAAACAAAAGTTGTAACTTTCAAAAGCAAGGAACATAAATAGCCCTGATTGTTGACTTTAACTAAGAGAACTGTTGTTTACACGAGGGCTTACAAAGTGAGTGCACACCCTTACAGACAGGTACTGACCTTGGGGTCCGTCTGTCAACAACAGCCACATTCCCATCCCAGTGACTGACAATCAATCTGGAACCATCTTCAGCCAAGAAGTCAAAGGAAGATGTATCCCACGTGTCGGATGTATAGACCTAGGAACAGATTAAACGTTGAATGTAAAAACCAAAAGAATTGCGGATGCTGTAAATCAGGAACAAAAACAAAAGTTGCTGGAAAAGCTCAGCAGGTCTGGCAGCATCTGTGGAGAAAAAAAATCAGAGTTAACGTTTCGGGTCCGGTGACCCTTCCTCAGAAATGTAAATGTTGAATGTAACTGGCTATAATATCCGGAGTTGCACAGCCCCAAATTTATTAGAAACCAATTTCCTCAGATATCATTTTAATTGGAAAAGTCTCTTTAATCAGTAGAGTCCATGCATCATTGAGCAATGAGATAAAACAAACTCAGAAATCATTGGTTGGAATTGAGTGAGAGACTCCAAAGGAAAAAGATGACTTCAGACAGTTTCTGTGAAGACTGTGCTACAGATCGCTACAGCAGAAAGGAGGAGACTACAGTCAGGAATGGCTCAGGTGAGGTGTAGTCTGCTATTAATTTAAACCAGAACCAGAATTATCATAACACCAGGAGATGGTCATTCAGCCCATTGTGTTCGTGCTGATTCTTTGAAGCAGTAATAAGAACATAAGAACTAGGAGCAGGAGTAGGCCGTCCCGCCCTTCGAGCCTGCTCCGCCATTCAATAAGATCATGGCTGATCTTTTCGTGGACTCAGATCCACTTACCCGCGTTCTCACCATATCCCTTAATTCCTTCATTGTTCAAAAAAAATCTACCTTATCTTTAAAAACGTTTACTGAAGTAGCATCAACTACTTCACTGAGCAAGGAATTCCATAGATTAACAACCCTCTGGGTGAAGAAGTTCCTTCTCAATTCAGTCCTAAATCTGCTCCCTCTAATCTTGAGGCTATGCCCTCTTGTTCTAGTTTCACCTGCCAGTGGAAACATCCTCTCTACTTCTATCTTATCTATTCCCTTCATAATTTTATATGTTTCTAGAAGATCCCCCCTCAATCTTCTGAATTCCAATGAATATAATCCCAATCTACTCAGTCTCTCCTCATCAGCCAATCCCCTCAACTCCAGAATCAACCTAGTGAACCTCCTTTGCACCCCCTCCAATCTCCTGCAAATCCGAAATTGTTTTCTCCTCATAACTCTCCAATTCTCTTCTGAAAGCATCCAGTGCCTCACACAGTGCATTCCAAATCCTAACCACTCGCTGTGTAAAACTGTTTATCTTCATGTCTCAATTCCTTCTTTTAATGACCTTAAATCTACGTCCTCCGGATAGTGGGCCTTCCAGCTAAGGGAACAATTTCTCATTGTTTAATCGCTGCAGCCTTTGTGATTTTGAGTACTTCGAACAAATCTTCTCAGTACCTTTTCTTCTTCAAGTTCCAACTTCTCTAACTTTTTTATAACTAAAATTCTTCATCCTTGCAATTATACTAATTAATCTCTTCTGCACGCTCTCTGAAGCTTTCACATCCTTTCTAAAGGATAACTGGAACTTGACACAATTCTGTAGCTAAGGCTGAACCACTGTTTTACCTAAGTGCAGTATAACCTTGCTTTTCTATGTTATGCCCCTATTAATGACATCTTGGGCTGTAGTATTATTACGTACAGGATAAATAAACATTTTTAAGCACAATAAAAAGTGAATTAAAAACAGTAGACATAATTATGAAAGTACATGCAAGTTAAACTCCTAAAGAACATTTTCCTTACATTTCACACACTCACCTACACCAAATGTGTTGCCTTTTCTGAAATATATAAAAATGTGAATGATTGAGGAAGCAGGAGGATTGCACAGGACTCACGACACTCTCTCCTTCCCACCTCTGAGCTCTCACAAGCCTTAACACCAAATGCAAGAAGCAACACTCCAACCAAAGTAACATTCGAGTTTCCAGTGTAACTGCAACTGGAGAATTAATTTCCCTTTGCTATTTTCTTGGCTCAGTGCAGAAAGTGTTAAAGTACAACAGAATTTCAACAATCTTCATTTAGAGAAGGCACACAGTGCGTTTCTTGTCACAGAAAACCACCAACGCATTTCACACATTCTAATAATGTAAAACCTATAAGACGGCTCAAAGACCTTTAGTGCATTTTACCTCATCGAAGACAGCAGCAGCTACATTTCCACAACGAATACTCCCTTCATTGCTTAGCGACAAGAGCTCAGCCGAGTTCGAAGGTGAAAAATGCAAACAGTTAACAGTGTTGCAGTGAGGCTTGAACTGATGGACTGTACCCTCCTGGGAACTCTGCAATGAAGTAGAGAGAAGAGCAAAAGATTACAGAGTTGGGTCACTAAGAAATAAATAGATTACATTTCTGTGACACCTTTCCTGACTTCAGGCCATCTGCATTCCTTTACAGCCAATGTAGCTCTTTCTGAAGCAGTCACTATTGTAAAGTAGGAAACAGGCAGTTTATGCACAGTAAGCTCCCACAAACAGCAGTGTGACAATGATCAGATAATCTATTTTTGTGATATTGTTGGAGGGATAAGAAGCAGCTGGCACGCGAGGAAGAAACTGCAGCTCTTCCTCAAGTTCTCTGTGATGTTTTACGTCCAGTCTCACCTAAAGGATAGTACCTGGAGCAACGCAGCACTCCCTCACTCCTGCAATGAGTTGTCCGCCTCAATACTGCAATAAGTCTTTGCAGTGGAACGTGAATCCGTGAGGAGACAGTGCTGCCTTTCAGCCACAGCTGACACAGCATTACATTACAAATGTAAACAGTCTCCTCAATACAGAGTAAATCGGAATCACTCACATCTACAAGTCTCTTAAGAAACTGCCCAATGCTTACTTAAAGCATGGTCTGATGCTGCTTATAAATCCAACTTGCAGGAGGTCACAGACACAAATTCAGTTCAAAGTTCTCCCATGACACAGGTTGGTTGTGGTAAAGGGGGTATTTCTATACAATCAAAATTATTTATACAGCAGTAAACAAATGTGGATTAAAATAATTTCTTCTCATGAATGTAGTAAGGAGGAAAAACTTCCTCTTCACACAGCTCACAGTAGTCTCTTAAGTTTCACCATCTGTTAACAACCAGGAAATTCCATAAAAGATGCATGTCTTACAGACTGATGTTGTCTTAGGTGGACTGAATAAAATCAGGGGCTTTTCTCCAAGAGCAGGAGAACTCTCCCCAGTGTCCAATTTTTTTATCCCTCAGCAACATCACTCAAAAGGAATACTTACCATTAATGGGAGCCGTTGCTCTGTTTCCTACAACAGTAACTGTTTCAGAAATACTTCACTGGCTGTAAAGAGCTCTGTAATGTCCTGAAGGTGTGAAAGGTGCTAAGGAAATGCAAGTCTTTCTTTCTTACGTCCAGAATAAAGAGAATGGTTCACTGACCAGATCCCACAGTCCAATGTATCCATAGGTGCTCCCGGCAGCAACCAGAAAGGTGCATGGAGAGGGATGAAAGGCCAACGAGCTGACCCGGGTTGGTGTCACTTTAGCAACAAGACCTTCTTGCATGGTCATCCTGTGCAAACTGGACTTGTACCTGGTCAGAGCATTAACGGCGATGGAAGTGATTTATACAAAGTTAAGTAAACAACAAACAAATGTAGCTTTTATTTTAAAATTGAAAGTCAACCCTAGACTAAAAACAGTTGCTTTGTAGTACAGAAATTGAGTATTGCTGGAAAAAATACACATTTTGTCAAAACTTTTCATCAGGGCAAGTTGCAAGAATATCAATAAATAGAGAGAAAAAAAATCAACATTTATATGATGAGAGGAAGAGTGTTAATTGATTGGCAGAGGTGTTGTCATGGAGAATCATGCTGAAAAGGAACTTACATTTTTAGTTCAACCGACTGTTTTTCTTCGGTATACGTCTCCCCCTGGGAAAACATGTATAAATATTCAGCTAATGATTACACCAGGATCCACCTTTACATTTCACTTATTTGCATTCTCAATTTTAACCAAAACGCCGAAATCAAGCTCTTAATGTTAATATCATTTTGGACTGATGGGGATGAAGGCTAGAATGGGAGGAAACAAGAGGCAACATTAACCGAAGTTTAAGATTCAGAAAAAAATATTGGCATTCATAAGATCTCCTAAAATGGCTTATTTTAATCATCACACTTTAAACATTTGTCTCTACATATTCCACATGATTAAAAACACCTACCAAAGGCCAATTTATTCAAACATTTTAGGCATCTTTGGAAAGAGCTCTTGTTCAGACATGTACCCAACACAACATAATATAAAGCAACTGTCTCTTAAAAGGACAAACATCATCACCTTCCACAACATTACATTAAAAAGCTTGCTAAAGCTTTCAGAATTCTTCCACAAGAATCAGTCTGTACTCGCAGCCCCCTAAACGGTGGGTGGTATGCAACAGTTCAGCGTTGAGTTAATCAAAAAGAGCATGTGATTCAATCCGTCTCCCCGTTCGGTTAGAACATGGAATACCTGGCTTATCTCCAGCCATGTCTTCATCAGATTCTCTGTTACTTTGCTGTCTTCTTCATCATCTCGAACCATTTTCAGTGGTCCAGAAATCTGGGGAAGAGGAGCAAACAAAAGAAAACAATATAACCAATACAGAATATATGGCACAGAAATAAGCAATTCAACCTAACCAATCCATGCTAGTGTTTATTCTGCAATTGAGCATTCTCACATTCAGCTTCATTGTATTCCTTTCTCCCTCATGTACTTGTCTGGCCGCACCTTAAATGAATCTATATTATTCTCTCTCTCTCACACACACACACACACACAGGTATTCTCTCTCTCCCTCCCTCCTTTACCATGCCCGCCCTCCAACCCAAAGCGCACAACACTTCCTCCCACACACTGTATGCTTCCCAAACACATGTAATTACACTCCCTGTGTCACACTTGGGTAATCTCTCTCTTTCTTTCTCTCTCCCTCCCTCCCTGCCCCACATAGAGGTGTACATTCGGTTATGTTAGTGCACGTGGGCTCCCTTTCCTCCCCCTCTCTCAAACACGCTCCCTATCGGACACTAAGGAACTCTCTGCCTCCTTCCCACATGCACGTGTGCGCCCCATGTTGTCCATCAGTCAGTCAATCTCACTGTGTTGTCTCCCTCACATGCATGCACTCCCTTTCTGCATCCCTCACACTCAGGTGCTTTCTGCCTATCTCCCTCAGACACATACTTGCCTAAACCCCCTCCAACACCCTCCCTGGTGTTTCCTCATGCAGACAGATGGTGTTAGAATTGGAAATATCATGCCAAAGTACAAAATCCTACAGCTCTGGTTAAGGTGCACAAATGAGACAGAGCCATGTGACCTCTAATGTGTATCTACTTTATGATGATCATCCCAGCACTAACCTCATCTGTCCAGCTAAAACCTGACAAGTGCAAAAGAAATGTTGAATCTGTTACATATCCTGGATTCATAGACATGTAAACAGTGAGACTTACCCTCTCTTCCACCTTCTCTTGTACTTCTATTGGTGTTTCTGGGAGTGGGGCACCTCCTGGGTCTAATCTCAGTAAACGCATCGATCGGCGAACTATAGGCTGCTGTACAGAGCTTTGCAGTTTCTTTCTGAAAGTCAGATAAAGGATCAAACTTGTACTAAAGCTGCATATGATAGGACAATAAGAATAAAACAAATACACCTAAACAACAGGAGACCGATAATTAACTTTTCTTGTGAAACTTCTGCTGCTAAGCCATGTGTCAGATTAATTTTCAATTTTCTTGACTGGCTTATAACAATTAGTTTCCCTCCTAGTTTGACATCATCTGAAATGTCATGAATTTCTGAATCTCAACTTATTAATTAGACTTAGAAGCTCCAATACTGATTTTTGTGGCAGCTCCTCACTACATAAAAATTGCTTGTTACAGAAGTTATCAGTTATCCAATCCCACAATTTATCATCAGACTCTTACAACTATGAACTATTTTTTTCCCTTTGAAATTTCAGAAGCTCCACTATCAGCATATCCCTATTAATGTTACTCTCTCAGTATGTGCTGACATTGTGAAGGAATACAGGAACAGTGCAGCCATGTGGAGTCGAAGTGAAGCTGAAGTTGGGGAGGTGATGGCCATGTGGTATTATCGCTGACAGTTAAACCAGAGACCCAGACAATGTTCTGGGGACCTGGGTTCGAATCCTGCCACGACAGAAGGTGGAATTTGAATTCAACAAATATCTGGAATTAAGAATCTAATGATGACCATGAATCCATTATCGATTGTTGGAAAAATCAATCTGGTTCACTGATGTCCTTCAGGGAAGGAAACTGCCATCCTTACCTGGTCTGGCCTACATGTGACTCCAGATCCACAGCAATGTGGTTGACCTTTAACTGCCCTCTGGGCAATTAGGGATGGGCAATAAATGCTGGCCTTGCCAGCTACACCCACATCCCATGAACGAATAAAGGAAATAAAAGTAGAAAAACAGCCATGACCTTGTGTAAAAGCAGACTAGGCTCGAGGGACTGAGTGGCCACCTTACACAAGAGATAATCAGACATGACACAATTCAAAAATACATAATACTAAACTTCACAGATCCTCTAACTGCATCGCACTAAATCATACCTTTTAGATGCATTCGGTCTTTTTACTTGCCGCTTTTTACTGATTTCTCTGAGTTTTTCAGCAGTCTGTAAAATAAGGAGAGCAAATTCCTTTGTGGATCAGTGGAGAACAATTTACTTTGATGTGCCAAATATTTCAAGACAGACCAGGTGAGAGGAAGGACTGTGGCAAGGATTGCTGAACATTCTCTCCATGTAACTGTCCAGACAAGGACAGCAACATCTGCATTAGCCTGGTGTATCCCCAGCACACTGTCCGAGCCTTGACCAGGGTAAAACACAGCAAGTACAATTCTATTATCTCTTTTTATCCTGACCACTGTGAAAATATGTGAGCTGAAACTATCTTCAGATGTGCTCGATCCAAAAAAAAATCAGAGTAATCCAGCACAGAGGACCACGGGGCCCATCATGTCCTCATTCTTTCGTAAACCTATCAAATTCATTCCACTCCCCTTCTATTTTCACACAGACCTGCTCAGTATGTTCCCTTTAATCGTCTTATTCTGGGAACGAAAGGAGTGAGCAGGAAGGTAAGGACAAGGTAAAAGATTGAACAAAATGGTAAAAGGCTCAAAGGCTTAATGGTTTGCTCCTGTATCTTATGCAATAACTTTCGACAGTCTCTATTCAATCTGCTTCCATCACCTTTTAGGACAGGGTGGTCTTAATCACAACAGTTTGCTGCTTAAAAAGAAAAGTTTCCTCATACCGTCTTGTGTTCTTTCGTCAAGTACCTTGACGTCTCGGTATATTGACATCCCTCCCACTGGAAATAGTTTTCCTTCATTTACTCTACGTCAATCTTTGAGATGTGGTACACCTCTATCAAGGAGAGCAAAGTGCCTGAAGCATTGCTCCAAATCCTAGAAAACCATCAGTCACCCAATTGTGGCTTTCAGCAGTCATGTTGGCTGAACCACTTCCCGAAAGACAATAAATCTGGTGTTCGATTGACTTAAATCATAAGCAGAACCAACTCAGCTCAACAGCTTGGTGATAAACAGCAATAATGAGACAGAGGGTGGTGGCAGACACTAGTTGGTCTTGAACTGTGCTGTCCATTAATTTACCTGCAGCATATTCAAAGATGCAAAGAACCGGGCATTTTCCTGAATGTTTTTCAGTCGCTTCTTCTCGTACACTGACAGCTCCTCAGATTTTCGATGAAACTAAAACAAAAAACATAACATTGACAGGTGCAAACTCCTCATTGAACAGATTCCTATCTCAACAATCTTGGCCCATCTGTTCAACAGCAACAACTCAATGCCATTAGAGGGAAAATGGCAAGGAGTTGGAAAGCATGGTCCTCTCAGACAAAAGCAGTTGTTCTAAAGAGAAAGACAAGATGCTCTGCAGAAATACTTTTGTACATCAATGAACTAACCTCTCAGTTTTCCCATTTATGGAAGCTGGTCAAACTTGGATCATCAGTTGTACATTTAAAAAAGGCAAAGCAAATCACAATACCAAAACCCATTGTGTAATAGGAATAAAACAAAAATCAGAAAGCTTAAAGACTTAACAAAAACAAACTGCTGGAGAAACTCAGCAGGTCTGGTAGCATATGTGGAGAGAAAGCACAGTTAATATTTCAGGTCCAGTGACCCTTCTTCAGAAGTCAGATGCTGCCAGACCTGCCGAGTTTCTCCACCTATTTCCGTTTTGGATTTCCAGCATCCCCTGTTGAAGTTTAAAGTCTTGTTTGATGTTACTCCAATTATCCTCAATAGAGTAAAATTATAGAATCTAATGGCACAGATGGTTATTTGGGACTTTGTACCTGAACAGATTCTTTGAATTATTAATTAGACTGAGGTAATTAGTTGAGTGATCAACTCTCAGGATACAAATAAGGAAGACTTGGCTCAGGTAGAGAAGCGGTTGTGTCTCTACCTCCGGGTTAGAAAGTCCAGGATAAAGCGCCATCTTCCCCAGACATGTTTCATAACAGGTCTGTACAGGTTGCTTTAAAATATCTATAAACTATGACACACTTTCCATTGCAGATGGTTGGTTAAAGGCAAACCACAGCGAAGCCCCTCTCTTCCCCACCGCCCTCACATCGACTGTGACCGCACTGTGCACAAACACCAAACATACAGGACCAGCAGAGGTGGGAGCCTCCTGCTCACTATCGGCGACATAGTGAACAGAGTCCTGGGAGTCAACAAATGGTGACTAAACGCAAAATTATAGGTAAAATCTCATTAAATATTCGTCCCACTCATCATACCCTACAATTAATTGTCCAAGTACAAAAATAACTTGCATTTGTATAAAAGGCCAGATGAACTTGGTTAAAGCTGTAGGTTACTATTATGTCTTAAAAAGAAAAGTGGAGAAGTGAAAACATATATAGCTACAAGAGGGATTTCAAACTAACAATTAACAACTTCTAATTTCTTACCGCCAGAGGAAACTCATCGTCAGTGCTGAAACCATCCGAGTCCCTCTGGTCGGAGGTGCTCATGCCCGTCTCTGCAGGGCTTGTTGGCCCAGAAGAGGTGCCCTCCTCAGCGGCTGGCATCCGCTGCTGGTCAGGCCGGGCCTGGGTCATCGTCGTGTTTGATCGCCGGGACGGGGGCTCCTTGTCCGGATCCTCTCCACCTCCGGGCCCGGGGAAGGCCGCTTCGAGCCGCCGCTTTCGGTTTCCCGAGGCCGCCGCTAGCGGCTGCCGCCCAAGTGCCGTGTCCTCAACTCCGGGCTTCATGGCCTGGAGGGAAATGCGATCAATTTTCTCGTTTCAAATGAAAAAAGGCAAACACTCCGACAGTCTGCACCGAGCGGGCACTTCCGGCGGGGAGGAGGTGGGGGGGATGCTGTAACTTTTCAGTCCTTACATGAATTGTTACATAAATTGTCACATTTCCCGCGCTCCGCTTCCTCCTGCCGGAGATAGGACACTTTCACATCCGCCATCTTGGAAACCGCAATGCCTCCCGGGATACCTAGCTCTGCTGAAAAGCGGCTGGAGAAGATTAAAACGACCAAGAGATAGTAGGAACTGCAGATGCTGGAGAATCCGAGACAACAAGGTGCAGGGCTGGATGAACGCAGCAGGCCAAGCAGCATCAGAGGAGCAGAAAGGCTGGCGTTTCGGGTCTAGACCCTTCCCCTTCCCCTCCCCCATTTCTGAAGAAGGGTCCAGACCCAA